AAGGTCCCACACCCCCCCCCCCCCCCCCCCCTCCTATATCCTACCATAGAATTTTTACTTGTGTTCACCCAATTTAGTGATCAGGTACCCTTGCTAGACAGCCAGGTTGGTGACCCAATTTTCTCTAGATTAAATGCATCTAGCATCTAGGTCACCAAACTGCCCCCAGCCTACTGCTTGACTTTGCTCTCTTGTAAGCAACGGTTGATGGCATTGTGCAACTGGCTGAGTGTTTCCCCTCTCCCTCCCATTGTGGGTGTTTGCTGTATATAGGGGATTACAGGAGGCTTATTGTGATGTTGATCTATCTGCACAACATCTGTATTTGACAAATGTATTTAGTAAATTAATACATCAGTGGAATTGAGACAGTGGGTGGGGAACACCTCCTGTAAAATTATACACAAAGCTGACGTTACTCGATGTCAAAGTATAATCTCTTTCCCCTGAGTAGCCTTTGCAGAAAAATGTGGCTCATGCATTCCACTAAATGACATAAATGAGGAAGGTGACTTCCCTATAAATCCGCAGTGCGATACATCAGCCATACGGCTGGGTCATGTATTCTGATGTCATAGCCGAAATGCCATTGTCTCCTAGTTTGGGAAGATTCTATGTTTTGAAATATATTGAGCATAGACACTTATATCCTACTTATGTTTTTTTTTTAGGTTAGGGAATGCTTATCGAAGAGGAATCCACCTCAAGAATCGCCTCACACACAGCCCATGGACAATGGAGATGCTACGGTCAGTTCGCAGCTGCAGTGGCAGCTCAACCTTCTCTCTCATCTGGAATCACTGCAGGATGAAGTCACGCACAGAATGGATCTAATAGAGAAAGAACTTGATGGTAAAAAGCTAGGCTCCAGTTACATGAAGAATGTTACCTAGTAATTTGAGTTTATGCAGCCAAATATGAGAACCACTTTACCAGTTATTTTTAATCTTGTTTAATATGCAGCTTTCTTTAAAATGCTGCCATGATTGGCCTTGAGGCACTTCCTGCTGTAATGTGTCCCTGTCTCCTGGCTGTGCCCCTGCATTGTCACCCTGTCACAATAGCTCCCAATGAAGGCTACAAGTGGTCTTAAGCACTTATGGTCCATTGTTACCATCAGGAAACCCTGCCCTGAGACCGCAAGTGGCTGCAGATCAGCGACACCGAGATGCAACAAAGGAGATAACTTTTTAGTATAGAAATTGGCAGTAGTTTGCACAGTTCTCCAACAATGTCATTTAGTTGGAAAAACTGACATTAAAGTAGATGTAAACTCTAAGTGATGTCTATCCTTTTTTGTTTTGTTTTTTGCTGCCTTTGATGGTTAGTCCAGATAAGTCACCTGGCAGCAGTTGTACAGAACACCACACAGAGGGGAATGGAAGCCCACATGACAGAGTCATCCTACTATTACCACAAAGTTTTGAGGCACCCCTGAGGAAGGCAGAAGGCTCAACAGGGTGCCAGCCTGGTTTTGAAAGGCAGTGTTAGACAATGAAGGAGCATTATCCCAATGATGAGGATTTTCCCCTCTTCCTTGGTCACTCCATTCCCCCCATTAACATGCTAATGACCTTTTTAAACAAAAACCTTTCCATTTCCATTACATTATTTTAGGCATAGTGATATCATCACTGGGCCTCTGTATGTCTCCATGCAATGTAAGCAGATTGTGCCTGGGGGAGGGCCAAATAAAACAGAGGTGGGTCACCTGATCTTTCTATTTCTCTGCACCCTGATTACATTTTTACTATTGCAGCTGAATCTTCAATTGGGGATTAACCCCCCTTCCCCCCACCTGCACCTCCTTGCCTGACCAGTGTGTTTTATTTCTTTACAGTCCTAGAGAGCTTCTTGGACTACACTGGGGAATTGGAGCCCCCAGAACCCCTCGCACGACTTCCTCAGCTGAAACACCGGATCAAGCAGCTTCTTATGGACCTTGGCAAAGTGGAGCAAATTGCTCTTTGTTCAACATAAAAAGACTGGAGCTAGAAAATGAAACGGCTCCCAAAAAAACCAAGGAAACGAGGCCTCCGGCACTGCAGAGCCTTGAGTAGCATGCGGACTGCATGTGCTGTGGACACACTGCTGCGGGAATGGAGGCTATAAATTGCTCTCAACATGGAATGAGCAATATGTGAATACTGACTGATAACAGGCTAGAATCGTACTCGAATGTAGTAATGAGGCTTGTATCGTTTGTGGGTTTTTTCTTTCTTTTCTTTTTTCCCCCCTTTGCTGTAATTCTTTCTGTTGTCCTAAACTGTCATGAGTTTTGTTAGCTCTTTTCTGCTGCAATTATTATTTTGTTTCTTTTACATGAAGTATTTGGATATTTAGTATAAATATGCTGTTGAGAGCCCATTTCTCCCTTTTGTAAGATGGGTAATGGAGTCATAAAGGAGCGCCTGTCATTTAGCAGTAGACCTAATGCTACACAAAATGGTAGGGAATCCAGACCATGTCCTTGGCCTCCTCCCATATAATGTGGATTTTGGTCTGATTTTTTTTTTTGGAAGTGTGCAGTCCAAGGTCTGCTTGGTTCCTGTTACTATACAATCCTATTCTGGTTCCATTTGGCAGCACTGAGGATTTGGTGTGCGAGAGGATTAAGTTGGCCTGGCACAGCTTTTATAACCAAATATTGGGGCGCACAGCAGACCTCTGAGGAATGGACACTAGACAAAAGGCTTTACTACTGTCCTGAGGAATGGACACTAGACAAAAGGCTTTACTACTGTCCTTGTAGGCTGTACCCTTCCCTACAGGAAGTCAGCTCTGTGTGTAGGCATAGCTGCTGTTCTGAAGAGGCAGCTAGGAGGAGAGGCTGAACGGCAGATGGAATACGTCTATTGACATACATGCAAAATGAGCATAACACACTTAGTGCGACGTTTCGGGGTCACATAGGATCCCCTTCCTCAGGCAGAACAAGTTCAAGAACACTTGTTCTGCCTGAGGAAGGGGACCCTACGTGACCCCGAAACGGCGCACTAGGTGCGTCTTACTCTTTTTTGCAAGTGCGTCAATAAATAGAAGTATTCTGTGTGCCGGTGTCCAATTTCTTTGGACACCGGCACACAGTGGCCATCCGTCGACTAACGTTGCACTCATTTTATCCTAATGGTTGAGCGGTCAGGAGTGTAATGGGTACATGGACTGAACAGCAGAAAGGAAGCTTGAGAGCGTGGTTTTACAAGTGTTGTGGGTTCCTTGCTTTGTTGTCACTTGAGTGAAGTTGTGCTTTCTTCATGCAGACGAACAGGTTTACTGTAGAAGTGGACCCAGCAGCTGCTTACAATTTACTTTTGCTCCCTTGCTTCTCCGTTGACCAGATAGGAATGCCATAAATCCCACTCATGAAGCTTGCACTGGGCCAAGGCCTACCTCTCCAGCCCTATGTGACGGTGCTGTGTTCTGACCTATCAGTTATCAAGCACCAATACTGTCACATGGGAGGAAAGGGAATGAGTTGCATACTCCTGAGTATTTTTCTTTGCTCATGGCGGTTGCACTGAGCAGCAGGGAGTTGAAGGCAAGTTTTAGATGGTCCTGAAATTGAGACACTGCTGTGATAGTCTAATCTTTGCTTTTTCAGCTGAGCTACTCGTCTTTAGCGTGTGATCATGTATTCCTCTGTATAATTCACTAGGGAGTTAACGATGCAACATTTGTGTTCTGCATGCTCTAGTCAAATTTTTCAAAGAGGTATATGGAAACTCTAGGCCAGGGGTAGCCAAACTGCGGCCTCTCCAGCTGTAGGGAAACTACAAATACTATCATGCATCTGCCTCAGTAGGCCATGCCTGTGGCGGTCAGAGACTTGCAATGCCTAATGGGACTTGTAGTTTCATCACAGCTGGAGGGCCGCAGTTTGGCTACCCCTGCTCTAGGCCATTGACTATGCTGGATCATCCAAAAAGCTAAACTCGCATTGGGGAGTTGAGGATTCCTCCCCCCCCCCCACACTAACTGTCTGAACGGAAGGAAAGACCTGGATGGGGGTTGAGCCCTGCCATCTCCCCAACAATACACTTTCACAGCACCAAATAACGTTTAGAGCAAAGAAAAGCCATGATTCCTCTCCACTTTTGATGGCATGTTGTCTGCTACAGAATGTCAGATGCACTTTATCCAAATTTAATTCTTTTTCTGTCCAAATTAACTTGAAATATTGCCACTAAAAGGAGCGCTTTAGGATCCACTAAATTCGAGGGAATCGTTCCAACCTGTCTTACTGCTTTACAAGTCCAGCCTATCTGTTCTGCAAGTGCATAGTACAGTATTTAATCACTAAGATGCTGTCGTTTCCGACTCCTACATTTCACAGTGGAAAAAAAAAACGTTACTTTTGTTGTATTTTTTGTTTTTTGCAGTGTTGTTAAATTTATTCTGCTTGTTGTACTTGCAGTACTGGTACATGAGCATGGTTATTCTCTTAGGGCATGATATAATGTAAGCATAGTAACTGGGTCTACGTTGCGCTTTTCTTTCCTTTTTTTTGTGTACACTTAACACACTATGGCAGTTGAATGAATTGTACTGGCTTCATATGGAAGTGAGCCATGTGTTTATGCTACGTAATGAATTTAGTGTGTATATGTAAATATTATTCCCAATTTTTGCCTAGCATTGTCCCCTACTAACGCACAGATTCCAGCTTTCTAGAGTCCCTCTGTATATAATACTGGGGCACCCTTCCCATCGTCACCTGCTTGGTGAGCTGAAGTCTTTTAAAGCTAAAATCCAGGCTAAAGTGATCTAGATCTTGGAGTCCTTTGTGTATTCTTTTCAGATCTCTGCAGTAATCCAGCATGAAAGACTGCTGCACTTTGCCTCTGTGCAAGAGGTTGCTGTATTTAAGACCATTCACTGCTGTTCTTCCCTCGTGCAGAGTTGATGGGTCTTGTATCTGCCCCCTGTAGTGGTTGGAGCTGCTGGGACTGACCCACTGCTCTGCTATCTGCCCAGGCTATGTGTAGCCCGAAGATGATGCCACTGCTACTTTAACAATGTCATCTCTGGGTGTGCTAAGGCATTTGGTGCAGTGGCTATTGAATTTTTGTGCCTGGATTCCAGCTTTAAAATAGAATCTATGGTTGTGCCATAGGGCTCCACCTTGGAACCTGGAGACTATTTCTCTGCATTCAGTATTTGGGCCCTGTGTGTGCGTAGGGGAGCCCTTTTTTTTTTTTGTTCGTTTGGAGGGGCCACAAAGTGGTCGTCTTCAAAGTCCTGAATAGTAGAACCTATTTACCTTCAGAGAGCACTTGATATATTTGTTTCTATTCAAGGTCACATTATAGGACTGGTTACTTTGAACCGAGGATTAAGCTGAGTTTGCCTAAAACTAGGGCTCTCCATATCCTGTCTGTTCTAGGCTCTTAAATTGAACTTGTAGGGAAAATCTTAAGCTATAAACCAAAAATTGTATTAGCGACCATAAGCCTTTCAGATATTCTAATATTGGGCAGCCTATGGGAAGCCTACAGCTCCCCTGACATCACCAATGCAAATGGTCTGTATTTGGATAGCTGTAACCCCCAGCCCGCCAATCCCATTCTCTTCTGCATGGAAGTCGGGGCAATTTTGGGGCTGCCTCTGACTTCACTCCAGTGACCTAATATTAGAATAAAGTTTTTTTTATTTCGACAGTTGATCTTGTCAGGTCGCGAAGTTATTTGGTTTATGCCTTTTCTTTCCTCTACATGTTTTCTTGGTTATCTTTTTTTCTTTTCTTTTTTTCCCCCCCATGTATTTATTTTAACCCTACCATGTGGGCTCTATTAAAAAGTTGTAAGAAAAAGGTTGCATGTTTCATTCAAGAAGGCTTCTTTTGGTCAACATGGCTGCCAATGCACAGTTCAGTTTAGGAAATCATATTTTTTTTCTATTACGTTGCCGAAGCCACTGGTAGTCAGTGCTATGATTTAGCTAAAGTCCAAAGGGAGCACTTTGTTACCAACTACACACTAATTGGTGTGTTTGATAAAGATCAAATCTGTACTCCAGGCCAACTGCTAAATAGGTTCAATATGCGAGAGCTGTTTTACCTGCCGAAGCATTTTTCTGGAGACCTGACTTTACTCTTCTGCAGCTGGTTCCTTACACCCCACCCCGACGGATGAGCACGCTTACTGTCAATCTGCTCTCTCCTCCCATCCAAATGATCCTTGTTGGCAAATGAGAACTGCAGCACATCCGACTTGGTCCCTGTGCATTGCTGTACGCGGTGTGCAAGAGGCTGATGACAAGTCTATTTGACCTATACAGAGGTAGGCAAACACCAGCCTTCCAGATGTGGTCACACTACAAATCCCATCATGTATCTGCCTCTGGAAGTTATGCCTGTGGCTGTCTTGTCATTGTCATTCTTGCAATGAATAATGGGTATTGTAGATGCACCACAGCTTGAGAGCCGACGTTTGCCTACCCCTCACCTTTTTAGATGAACACCTACTCGCATTAATTGCTGTTTAGGTGTTAAGATTTAAGGGTATCCCAAGTTGGCTTTATGGGGAAAAAAATGTTTTAAGTCAAGTGCTCTTCGAAACATTCTGGGTGAAATCATGATAGATTTGGCTTTTTTTGTTTATTGCTACACAATATGTGCTGTAAGTTCTTCCCAAGGACCAAATGTATTATACTTGCCTAAGTTCTTCTGCAATACCCATGGCAGTAGCGGCTTTTGTCAATCCTCAGCATAGCACCAAGGATGATTGACCCCCCTCTCACATGATTATTACTCAATAGGTTAAATGCAATTTGGTCTTTGTAGTGTCTGCTCACGTGATAGGAATTCTCTGTCTAACCAAAACTGAAACGTCACTTCAATATGGGCACTGGTGGGCCAATCTGCTTGGCAACTTCTTGTATCTTAAAGGCTCCTTTGGCCTGATTTCCTGAGGGCAGTTTGTCACATTCATTCACAGGCTGACTTATAGGAATATTCTGGGACATTTTGCCACTGGAGTCACTATAAGATGGCTTACAGTTCAGTTTTCGGAGACCATTCAAACCAAAAACCCATTTTGGTTGGAATGGAACTAGAATAGCTACGCCTGCATTCAATATGATTGGCTGGCTATATAAAAGTGGAGGACCTTGAATATGGCAAGTCACCTCTAGTCCTTTTTCACTTTCAAGGTATCCATATGGAGTAGGGTAGGCAACCTCGGCACTCCGGTAGAGCTAAAACCACAAATCTCCTTTTTATGCCTGGAGCGGTCAGTCTTGCAATGCCTCATGGGAATTGTAGTTCCACAACAGCTGGAGTGCTGAGGTTGTCTACTGCTGGAGTAGGGCTTGTGGAAAATTGCAACCAAAGTGGATCTGTTACCATACAGATATTTTGTTATTTAAAAACTAAACCTGATTGGTTGCAATATGTGACGGCAACAGTTTTTTCATCAGCAGAAGGAAAATTAGACCACATATATTATAGAGGGTAAAACTTTTGTGCATATAAAAACAGATTTAGTAGATCGGCTAACTAGAAAGTTACCAAACATCTCTTTAATGAAGGTGCCAACCTATTCAGGGCAAGGTGACCGTGTCTTCACATAGCCCATCCCTCAAGGTATGTACACTTGTTGCCTCCCTGCTGCAGCATCTCCACCTGTCTAAACTTGGGTGTTGGAGCTTAGACAGGGGCATGATGTCATGGCTCCATCATGTGACAATGTTTGGGCCTAGTGATTGGCTGCTCATTGCTGTGAACTGTCACACAGGGGAAGCCATGGGCTCTCTAATGCTGAGGAGCCCTACTTTATTAGGGTGCAGGGAGGATACGAAAGTGTTATTGGGCAAGCATACATACCTGGGGTGGTGTGCTGTGTGCAGGCACAATCAATTTGCCCTGAATGCCCTCTTTAAACTAAAAAGTAGAAATCCCCTCCACTGGTGAGCACAGGTTGGAGTATACCTGCTGAACCCCTCCACTGGTGAGCACAGGTTGGAGTATACCTGCTGAACCCCTCCACTGGTGGTGAGCACAGGTTGGAGTATACCTGCTGAACCCCTCCACTGGTGGTGAGCACAGGTTGGAGTATACCTGCTGAACCCCTCCAATGGTGGTGAGCACAGGTTGCAGTGTACCTGCTGAACCCCTCCACTGGTGGTGAGCACAGGTTGGAGTATACCTGCTGAACCCCTCCACTGGTGGGGAGTACAGGTTGGAGTATACCTGCTGAACCCCTCCACTGGTGGTGAGCACAGGTTGGAGTATACCTGCTGAACCTCTCCATGGGTGAGCACGGAGTATACCTGCTGAACCCCTCCACTGGTGGTGACCACAGGTTGGAGTGTACCTGCTGATCCCCCTCCACTGGTGGTGACCACAGGTTGCAGTATACCTGCTGAACCCCTCAGCTGGTGACCACAGGTTGCAGTATACCTGCTGAACCCCTCCACTGGTGAGCACAGGTTGGAGTATACCTGCTGAACCCCAACACATCCAGGGAACCGCTTACTGCAAGGTATCAAACGAGGGAGACTCTGTCTTGTCTTCAACAAATAAGAGGTAGCGGCTTTTCCTTCTTTCTTGTTAAAAGCACCCGTTCTTTAACGCAAATTAATTTTCTATGTTTTGTGTATAGATGATGGATCTGATCTTTGTTCTGTTTATATGTGTAAATATTTATATATAAGTATATATAAAAACAATTTTGGTTCCAACATTAAAATTGCGTTAGGAAATAAATACATTTGGGTTTGTCAAATCCTTTTAATGTTAATTTTTTTTCTTTTGCTTGAAAATGATTTGTGTAAATCTAACAGACTAAAATATTTTCAGTGAAGATGGGTATTTTTTTTTTTCTCTTTGTTTCACATGTGAGAGGATGTAGTCATGCTTTCCATGCAGTGATTTCTACAAAATATTAGTGGTACAAAGCAGAGCCACGATTTACAGACTTTGTTTTTGCCAACTGCATACAAGATTAGTCTTTGCAGGAGGGTTTTTTTTCTTTTGAAATTGTCCTTCCTAAAATAAAATAAAAAATATATTTAACTGTACTTGGTGTTTTGTCTTCCTATTTAATATCAAATCATTCAGACTTTTAAGCAATTTAGGATGCAAGAACAAGGGGGCTACCCCAGCACTGCAAGGGTTAGGTGCGCATTTTGATCTAGGTTAAAAAAATGAGTTATACTCGCTGATGAAAATCCCCCACCCCAGGTTGTGCACCGTGCCCACTCCTACGCATGCGGAACATCCACAACCTATCAACATTTTGGAAGATCCACTGAAGGCAATTAGGTTATGGCTGTACATGCACAAGGATCGCTGTGGAGCTGCAGTTTGGGGTAAGTAAAGTACTATCTAGAGCAGGGGTAGCCAACCAGAGGTCATCCAGCTGTGGTGGAACTACAAATCCCATGAGGCATTGCAACATTCTCACAGACATGACTCCCGGAGAAAGATGCATCATGGGATTTGTAGTTTCGCCACAGCTGGAGGACCACTGGTTGGCTACCCCTGATCTAAAAGCACAATGCTCCCATTTATTGAAAGAATGGAATTTAGAAGCACCAGTGATGCAAGTAGGCTCTTTATGGTAATATGTTGATGAATGATGCACTTTACACAGAGTATGTATGAAGAGATTTAAACATGGAGCTCTGTCTGCGGCACAGGTCAAAACTATACGGTCAAGTGAGAGGGTGTGGCTGGGGTTACTTTTGGATACTAAATGATTATGAAATTGCTGGGGGTAAAAGGTGGGATTCCCAAAAGAATAAGTGCACCTGCCATCCTTATCCGTAAAGGCCCAATAGGTTTGGAAGAGACGATATTGTGGTTTGAACCATTTAAAGGAGTTTAACCATTATAACTACTATTGCTCTCTGCTGCTATTACACCTTCAGTAGATGCCAATCACACTGCACAAACTCATGTTATACATCTGCTTACCCCCTTTTGATCTGCTATGCTGCATTTCTGACCGGCTTCCAACAGATGCACACTAGAGAAGCATTTTCCAGGTCTGTACATCTAATCGGGCAATGTAGTTCAGTGAACAATAATTCACCACCTGTGAACGTCTGGTGAAAATCACATTCGCTGCTATAGGCCCTATCCGGAGAGGCATTCAGATCAGAAGACCAGTGTTGGTATATGGACAGCCAGATCTGATTGTACGTGCGTTTACATCCGCATGCCTGATTCCATCCAAGTCTGGAAGACCAAACGGAACAGAGTTCCATTTTGGTGGACTTGATCGTGGCTCCTCCTTTCTTCTCCGAGATAGTAGACAGTTGCTGGAGGCTTTGCTGACCTTTTGTGAGCTTTGTATCGGACAAGAAGCTCAGGGAACCTGAGCTGAGAGAGTTGGAGCAGTTCAGAAGCATGACTGCAGGTGCTTGGGCAGAAACTAAAAGATTTATTTATTTTCTGGACAAAGTATATTTCATCTGCACTCATTGAACAAAAAAGACAGAGTTTAATACTACAACTAAGTTGATAAAATGTCAAAGTGACCAATTGACTTTTTGTTGCAGTGTTGGCGAGACACCCAGTTGTTTTTTTTTCCCCCCACTATCCTTCAGGCCACAATTTGGGGGTACAAACTCTGGAGGATGTCATATGTTGCACCCTACATATGGTCAGAAAAGGCTATGCTTTAAGAAAATAAAAGAAAGCATAATTCGCAAATTATTGTTTTTATATCTTTACCTTGAGCCCAGACCATAGAATGTCAGAAAATCAGAACTCTCCTCCGTATAGTAGATCCTTATTTGAAAAACCTAAAAATCATTTAAAAGCTCACTTCGATAACCTAACCCCAGAACAAAAAACACAAAACAAAACCACGTGTGAATCCGGTTTTCTACAGAGAAAACTTGCGATCAATAATACAGTTTCCATGAGTACATTGTGAAAAGCATTCAGGAATTTTACTGGCTTATTGTTGACTAGAGCAGCCCAAGCTGAGCCTGCGATCCTGCAGCGGCGATGACACAGCGTGCACCGGGCGTGCAGAGCTGGCTGGCCATTTAAATTTCTGACCAATCGCAGCGCCCACAACTGCGACCAATAGGAGAGCGGCTCTCTTCTGTACCAGGAAGTGGCGCCGGGGAGGTGGGGCAAGTCATGTGATCTCACCCTGTATCCGGAACTGTGCTGCATAGAGCTGGAGGTAAGTAATAGCTTGACGGAGACACATCTACTGCTATGGCAGTGTTCTAGTGTCACAACTTCTCCATGGGTTGTGTTCAGATTGACTGCAGAATGTTCAGGCAGCTAAATAATAATAGAGAGCTGTATTCATACACATGAGGATTGCTACCACAATCACAGAAGGCTGCATTCATACACATCAGGACTGCTACCACAATAACAGAGGGCTGTGTACATACACATGAGGACGGCTACCACAATAACAGAGGGCTGTGTACATACACATGAGGACCGCTACCACAATAACAGAGGGCTGTGTACATACACATGAGGACCGCTACCACAATAACAGAGGGCTGTGTACATACACATGAGGACCACTACCAGGAGAGCAGGGGGCTGCATTTCATACACATGAGGACCGCTACCAGGAGAGCAGGGGGCTGCATTCATACACATAGGGGACTGTTGTCACAGCGACAGAAAGTGAGGGAAACAAATCCAATTTTTGGGGGATCAGCTTCCAAAATTTCTTGACTTTCATAGTCACTGACCTGGAGCCAATTAGAAGATCAGATTTATGTTGCAGGCCATTGACCCAGAACGAGCTGAAAGCACACCGCCAGGCATCTAACATTTTCAGGAGGTGTGTCACATGTCTCTCAGTGCAGGTTTGCGTCATTTCTTATTGTTTGATGATCTCATTTGTCCCCAGAGGCTATGGCTGCAGGATACGGGGTGATGGCGGATGACGGCACCATTGACTACTCCGTACATGAAGCCTGGAATGAAGCCACCAACGTCTACTTGATAGTGATACTTGTGAGCTTCGGTCTCTTCATGTACGCCAGGAAGTGAGTTGTCGGCCTTCCTCTACAACTTTTTTTTATGGATTTCTCATATTACAAGTCTAAGCTTACGCTAAGCACAGCGCTTAGAAATCTGTCCCTGCATAAGAAGTTAGTAGACCACTCTCTCGCTGTCTGCAGCGGCGAACACCAATTTAAAGCATAGACATTGTCAGCTGTACAGCTGAGCTATAGACGAAGAAACGGCACAGGGAGCCAATTAGTTCCTGCGCGGACAAGAATAATGCAGATAGGAGGAGAGAGCAGAGTGACAGAGAGATGAGTTCAGCACTGTGCTGATTCTCCTTTCACTGTCTAGTCACAGGCTAGGGCAGGTCCATGACAACCTGGGCTCAGAGGAAGAGGGTTGAATGATCTTGGAAACCAGATGTCTAGTGGTAGGGGAAGGTACGGCCTGGGAAAGTTATGCTTGAAGGTGATATTGCAGCTGGGTTTGTTATTTTATGTTTTTGTGGGTTGTTCATTTTACCTACAGGGGTCAGCAAGTGCTTGTTTTAAACCTCATGTGCTCGTTGGTAATAGGGATGCACCAATACCGTTTTTTTGGTATCGAGTACAAGTACCGATATTTTTTTCTTCGATGCTCACCGATACCGGACGTCCCATCAAGGAAGCCAGTCGTAGTGTAAAGACTCGCCACCTGGCTTCCCGATTAGCAGGGAAGCCGTCCCCATGCCTCTCGTCACTAGGTAACGAGAAAGCACGGAGGCGGCTTCCCGGCCAATCAGGAAGCCAGGCGCCGTGTAATGACACGGCGCCT